TAATTAGCCCACTCATCCGGTGCACTGCACCTCATTCTCATTCCTCTTTAGTTCCTTCCTGCCTCTCCTTCATTCCTTTAGGAGTAAAACAACATAGTTGGCTGCCCAAGTACTAATTATGTAAGGTAATAAAATGTGGAAAAAGATGTAGGATAACATACAGGATTATTTATCTGAATGTTTCAAGTAGCATAACTTATTTTATCTCATAACCAAATAGGCCCATGTTTATTGTGACCATTATTTCTCTTAAATATTTCATAGTCTTGAAAGGATTTGCTTTAGAAAAATGCCGGAGATCAGGATGAACAATTTCATGTTCCAAAAAACTAACCAGTGACATACTATAACAGTAAGCTGCTGCCATGTGGAACAGAGAGAACTGCCAACACACGAACTTGTATTATGACTGAGCGACTTCTTGGTCAAGCATACTCCCATGATTCGAGCCCACACGCTGCCACTATCTACTTTCCGTCCTGAACATTGCTATGATCATCACCGTAGATGTTATCAGCAATATATGTATGTTGGACTTCCACGTACGGACCACTACTTGAGCAATTCATCACATTTCTTATTTTTTGCGTAACAATTCATGACAACTTAGATCAGAGCATGCTCAGCTGGGACGGCGCTGAGCGGAGGACGGGGTTGGTGCTCAAGGGGTCGCAGGATTTTATTCCTTCTTCCTAATTCTTTTCCTTCCTCTAAATTTGACCAATTTATTTCCTCTTTAAATTTCTTTCCTTCTAATTCTTTTCCTTCCTTCCTTTTCCTACTCGTAGGAGCGAAATTTATTTAATTCTCAACTGCTCATAACTGCAGGATTTATTTCTCCTTCAATTATTTCCTTCATGCTCACCTGCTCATAATAGTGGGATTTATTTCCTTCTTTCATTTCTTTCCTTCTTGCACATCCGAGCGGAATTTATTTCCTTCTTTTAATTATTAGATTCCTTTCTGCTCATATTGTGAGCCACTGGGGCCCACTTGTTGAGGTGGCTTATTGATTCCAATTGATAGACTTTTATAAATTGGTGTGATGGGGTGTCAAAAAGCGATGTGGGACAATTCAATACTGGAACAAATAATTTTCTGGCCCAATACCATGTGCGTGCCAGGCCCAGCATGGCGACCGTGCCGTGGGGCTATAAAAAATTGACACGGACAAACCGTTTTTCAGTCCGGGCACAATTGATACCTTGCTCAACTGGTTTATATCATAATGGTGAGGCGAGATCTTGAGTTTGAACCCCACAAACACCACATATTTTTTCTATTACCCATATGTGCAAAATATAATAGTAAAAAAATAGTAACACCTAAGACTCAGATAGTAAAAATTAAAAAACAAATCAAATAAATAATATTGGTGCACGGATAAAAAAATCTGAGAAGGTGTCTGAAACCAATAAAATCACATAGGCGGGACGAAACCAAGAATATCACCTTAGTAGGTATAGAGTATAGATATAGATATAGATTGTCGTGGATTTTTTTTGTTTGTAAGATTAGCCTTTATTATTTAGAAAACAATGGGTCTGCTGTCCTCATATATTTTAGTACTACCTCTGTAACTAAATGTAAGACGTTTTTGCAGTTCATAGAGGACTAATTGTAGACTAGTTTTTCAGTCAGCAACACAGCTTTGACTACTAGCTAGGTAACTAATTATAGACTAGCCTTTTAGTTGTTACCCCCAGCAGCAACTCGTCTCAACATTATGACTAGCATTGGTAGTATTATGATGTACAGCTGCAGTTCTTTTTTATTTTTCAGCTTTCAGTAATTGTTCCTATCTTTGGATGATTTGAGAGCCTACCCCAACTTGTTTGGGACTAAAGGCTTTGTTGTTGTTGTTTGGATGATTTGAGAATTTGGATCATGCTATTAGTTTGCTAGTCGACGATAATTGGATGGGGGTTAATAGTAAGTTAAGAGTTGTGGAGATAGACTTTTGAATCAAAAAGTTTTAGGCTTAGTAGAACTAAAACTGAGTACGTGAGGTGCGGTTTTAGTACTACTAGGCACAAAGAGGAGGTGGTACTTCTATGGTCTTGATGGGCAGGTGGTACTTTAGAAGGACGCCTTTCGATATTTGGGGTCTATGCCTGCAAAAGGATGACGAAATCGATGAAGAGAGTGCCATGGGGCGCCAAGCTTCTGGTGTACTCTGTGAGAAGAGAGTGCCACAAAAGCTAAAAATCAGGTTTTATTGGGCGGCGATTCGATCTACGATGTTGTGTGGTGTAGAATGTTGTCCAACTAAAAGGCGACGTGTCCAACAGTTAGGTGTAGCAGAAATGCGCATGTAGAGATGGATATGTGGCCACACAAGAATGGATCGGGTCCGGAATGATGATATATGCGATAGTGTTGGGGTAGCACCGATTATAAGAGAAGCTTGTCCAACGTTGCCTGGGATGGTTTGGGCATATGCAACGCAAGCCTCCAGAAGAGGTGCCGGTTTATAGCGGAAATCGTGCTGATAATGTCGAGAGGTCGGGGTAGACTAGACTTGACATGGGAGGAGTCCGTAAAAATAGATCTGAAGGACTGGGATATCACCAAAGAACCTAGCCATGGACAGGGGTGTGTGGAAGTTAGCCATCCATGTGCCAAAACCAGACTAGGTTTTTAGATGTTATGGGTTTCAACTCTAGTCTACCCCACAACACGGCTTTGAGTACTAGCTAGGTGATTAATTACAGACTAGCCTTTGAGTTGGTACCCAGCAGCTATTTTGCAATTTGCTTTATTTTTCAGTTTTTAGTATTTGTTCCTGAGTTTTATCTAATATTGGTTCTTGGATAGGCTGACCCGGTATAAGAACTTCAAGGAAGGGCACAAGAGGATCCTTGTGGCTACGGATTTGGTTGGCAGGGGGATTGATATTGAGCGTGTCAATATTGTCATAAACTATGACATGCCTGATTCTGCTGATACATACTTGCACAGGGTAATTTTAACTTTGCCCTACTGATTGTGATTGGGTGTTCTTATCTCTGGCTAACATAACATGGTCCACCCCCACAGGTTGGAAGGGCTGGGCGTTTTGGAACCAAAGGGCTTGCAATAACATTTGTTGCTTCTGCCTCTGACTCTGACGTCCTCAATCAGGTTTGTATAACTTCTATATATATATATATATGTATATGTATATGTATATGTATATGCCTTTGCCACCCCTCTGGCTTCCGTCTGATCTGGCTTTGAGATCTGTGTAGCATCTTTTAGGTCTGCCATTGATTAGTCTTCCATTTGTCTAATTGTACTTAGATGAGTTCGTAGCACTAAGTATTAACAAGGTAAAATGTTGATACATGTGTGTACACACGAATCTTTTTCGAGGAATATCTTTTGAGTTCATGGGGAACTTCTTTTAGGAATATAAGTCTTAATCACGAACCAATTTTTTTGTACTATTATAGAAAGTTAGTAAGGTATACTACTTTTTATACTATTAGGGAATCTTTTTGGTTAAGTATTCATGACCAAATATTTTGATACCCCTAGTCTAAGACATACTCTACTGGAACCGTATTAGTGTGATCATTAGCATGCTTCATTAACTGAATCTTGATAAAGTAATGATGATAGCATAGTGTTTGCACGGATCACGAAGCATGCATTGAACGTGGATAACATGGGGTGGCAGGGGTGGTATAGTCCCCGGGTGTTTAAAAATCCACACTAACAGGATGGATTTTCCCTATATATATATATATATATATATATATATATATATATATACATATTTGGTATGATGAGTGTAGTGCAGCCTAACTGAAATTTCATACATATTTTATTTGAAGGTGCAAGAAAGGTTTGAGGTTGACATCAAGGAGCTGCCTGAGCAGATCGACACTTCAACATACAGTAAGTAGTATTGTTGTCTAGATCAAGTGGTGCATTGGCGTGTTTTGATACCCATATAGTGTTGTTTCTTGAATTCCCAACACCTGATCCCGTATTATCAACTACAATTGCCAGTGCCATCTTGAAGATCCAAGTGGGGGCTAGGAGGGTTTGCTTTTCAGACACAGCACCTTTACATTTCTGTTGGGTTACATGAACTTTGATGTAAGAGATGCTCTAGTTGTACTTAATCAGCGATTGGATCTGCTGAGTATTTTGTTGTAGTACTCAGACTTATGGTTGTTAAGGAACCTATTGGAAATGTTGGTGTTCATCATGTTTGCGAGCATATTATTAGGACATTCTTATGTTAGTTTTGGAAGGGGGGCCTTGGCGCAGCTGTAAAGTTGTTGCCTTGTGACCATGAGGTCATGGCTTAGGGTCCTGGAAACAGCCTTGCTGAAATGTAGGAAAAGACTGCGGACAGGAGACCCATGGTCGGACGGTTATGTGCAGCGGTTTGCCCCCATTCTTATGTTGGTTTTCTATTAGTACTTTCACTTACTAATTTTCTTTTATACTAACATCTGATTGAATTTCACTTGGAATTTGTGCTCCGGATCCAAATTAATTGTCACAGCAATAGTACAACTTTAGTGATTTGGATTGGAGGGATTATTATTTGTTGCATCCTTGTGGGTGTAATGCAAGGCTGCTTGTATGTGAATGCTTGAGGAATGAGAATGGTTTGAGATTGGCTCTCAAAGGTGGCCAAAGCCCTTGTCGACGAATCTTGCCGTCTATGTAGCTGACTTCTTGCCACGGTACGCCCAGTCCAACAAATAGTCCACCAACGCCTAGTCCTTTCCCCTCATAGCCAACCCTAGTCGTCACATGTTTTTCCTTTTGCACCCATACGCACACCGCAAGCGACTCCCGCTCATTCCTCACCATATCGTGACGGCGGCGGCGGAACACACATGTGAGGCTCATCTTTGCACAAGGGATAGACAAAGCTGAGTGTCGTAGCTTCAGCCGTTAGGACGTTTGTGCACCAAACATTTCTTTTACTCCCCCCGCAATGAGTTTGCCTTTGTCATCCCTCAGAATAGTTCTAATTGTAGCCTAAGCAAATCTTCATCAATAGATGCATCAACATCAAGTTTAACAAAACCCAGAGTAGGGCGAATCCAGCCCGAAAATTCATCGGCGTGGACGAGCACGCCTGTTCATGGTATCTTCCGTCGTTCACTCGTTGCGGGATATGGGCTGGACGCGGTATTCCAGGGTGCGTATGCCGGGTAGTTAATGCGTACTCTTGGACGGAGGCCCGACGGTTGTACGCTGTGTGTAGACGGCCGTTCAGGATATAGCGACGGAGTCATGGCACTGTACCAACGTTGGCCGTAGGTGCAAACGGCATGGCAAACGGTACGATCCAGTTGGTGCGGGGCTGGCGTCCACCTACCCACCACATTACTGCGGCGCCGTTGGTCGATCCGCAAATCGTGTGTGGAGAAACCCTAGCGGCTCGTTCAATCGATCCCCAAATCGTGCATTTTTTTGTCTGATATGTTCAATCAAATCAATATCTTCTCATATGGTTTCTTTTTTTTGAATCGACGGTAGCCATCAGCTGGTGGACGCGACTTATATAGGTGTGTAAGACAATAGGCTTTGGGGGGAACCGGCACAACCCTCTAGGGGTGGCCTATCACATATATATATAATGAGGTGATATACAACATTACAATATACACATGTAAATACAGTCTAACACCCTCCCTCAATCTTAGCCACTTTCTAATGAATCTAGAAGGGCAAGATTGCGCCTGCAAGTCTCAAACTGTGGCAAAGGCAATGGCTTGGTGAAGATGTCAGCAAGTTGATCCTTGGAAGAAATAAACTTGATTTGTAGTTGCTTCTGAGAGACACGTTCACGCACAAAGTGATAGTCAACTTCAATGTGTTTCGTTCGGGCATGGAATACCGGATTTGCAGAAAGGTATGTAGCACCGATGTTATCACACCAAAGAACAGGAGGCTGTGATTGGGGTATACTTAACTCCTGAAGCAAGGACTGTACCCAGATGATCTCTGATGTGGCATTAGCCACAGCCTTATACTCAGCCTCAGTACTGCTACGCGAGACAGTAGCCTGTTTCCGAGCACTCCAGGCAATCAGGTTAGAGCCAAAGAAGACAGCATAACCCCCCGTGGATCGCCTGTCATCCGGATTGCCAGCCCAGTCTGCATCAGAATATGCTGAAAGACAACCAGAGTCAGACGGCCGAATATGCAAACCATGAGCCACCGTGAAACGAATATAGCGCAAAATCCGCTTAACAGCAGACCAATGAGTGTCACGGGGTGACTGCAGATACTGGCAGACTCGGTTAACAGCATAGGAAATGTCTGGTCGCGTGATCGTCAAGTACTGGAGCCCACCAACAATACTCCTGTACTCTGTCGCATCAGAAGAAGAAAGAAGCACACCATCAACAACATTGAGCTTATCAGTGGTAGACATGGGTGTAGTCGTCGGTTTGCACTTAAGCATCCCAGCTCGCTGCAACAAATCCAGAGAGTACTTCTTCTGCGTCATAACAAGGCCAGCATCACGAGAAGTAACCTCCACACCAAGAAAGTAATGAAGCTTCCCAAGGTCCTTGACCGCAAAATCAGCACCAAGTGAGCGAACAAGCGCAGTAGCAGCCGACTGAGAGGAGCTGACCAAAATGATATCATCTACATAGACCAACAAGTACATAGTAACCTCAGGCCTTTGAAGAAGAAACAATGAGGAGTCAGCAGTTGATGATGCAAAACCATGAGCACGAAGAGCCATTGCAAGACGAGCATGCCAAGCACGAGGAGCCTGCTTCAGACCATAAATTGCCTTGGACAGACGACAGAGATGATCAGGGCGATCCGGATCAGAGAAACCCGGAGGCTGGCGCATGTAAACCTCCTCTGCCAAGACACCATGAAGAAAAGCATTTTGAACATCAAGCTGACGAAGAAACCAACCTCGAGTAACAGCCAGAGAGAGAAGAAGTCTGATGGTAGTAGGCTTGACCACTGGACTGAAGGTGTCTTCATAGTCATGTCCAAAACGCTGTCGAAAACCACGAGCAACCAGACGAGCCTTATAGCGCTCAATGGACCCATCAGAATGCCTCTTCACTTTGAAAACCCATTTGGAATCAATGACATTTACCCGTGATTGTGGAGGAACAAGAGTCCATGTCTGATTGCGAAGAAGCGCTTGATACTCCTGCTCCATGGCCTCTCTCCAATGAGGAATGCGCATAGCAGCTTGATACGTGCGTGGCTCAGAGGATGGATCTGCGAGAGCAGCAGACATGCACGCCGCTAACCAAGCAACTGTGCCATCGTGACATTGCTTAGGCTGAAAAATGCCACTCCGACTGCGCGTATGTGGACGTAGAGCAGCAACAGGAGCCGGCGGAGGCGAAGGTGACGGAGACGTGACGGTCGCCGTAGATGCAGGAATCACCTCAGGCGAGCTCGGGACAGACGACTCCGGGCTGCATGGCGAAGACTGGCCCGACGACAGGGGCTCAGAGGCCATGGGCGAACCGAGAGTGGGCGAGGCCAGCTCCGGTGACACCGGCCCAGACGGCCTTGGCGAGGCGAGAGCAGGCGAGGCCGGCCCTGGTGAGAAGGGCCCAGACACCCTGGGCGAGGCAGGGGCGGGCGAGGCCAGGCCTGGTGATGACTGCCCCGACGCCCTGGGCGAGACGGGGACCGAGGAGGCCGGCCCAGTCGGCGGGGTTGCAGGGCGCGACGATGGCGAAGGCAGCCCAAAAGCCAGAGGCGACCGGGCCAGGACGTCGATCGGCCATGCATGAGCACGGAAACCGAGGCCATGCAGGGGCGCCATGTGCTCCTCATGCACAACAGAAGGTGCCGAGGATGAAGGCGATGGCGACGAAGAGGAAGATGGCACTTCTAGAATCTCCAAACGAGCCCCACGACCAGTGCCTGCACCATGGTTAGGCAACAATAGAGGAGAATATGCAACATCATCAAATTGGTCAGAAACAACAGAGGATGAATGCATGACAGGTGGCTCGGTAGTGGACACAGGGAGTTTGGCAAAGGGAAAAACATGCTCATCAAACACAACATCCCGAGAGATGTAGACACGATTAGTGGGCACATGAAGACATTTGTATCCTTTATGAAGAGAGCTATAACCAAGAAAAACACACTTCTTGGAATGAAACTCGAGCTTACGCTTGTTATATGGACGGAGATGGGGCCAGCAAGCACACCCAAACACCTTGAGAAAGGTGTAGTCCGGTTGTTCATTAAGGAGAACTTCAATGGGAGTCTTCATATTCAAAACACGAGTGGGAGTACGATTGATGAGAAAACATGCAGTGGTGAAAGCATCACTCCAAAAACGAAACGGAACAGATGCATGGGCCAAAAGAGTCAGACCAGCTTCAACAATGTGACGATGCTTACGTTCTACTGAACCATTCTGCTGATGTGTATGTGGACATGCTAAACGGTGAGTGATCCCAAGCGACTGAAAAAAGGAGTTGAGGTTGCGATACTCGCCACCCCAGTCCGACTGAACATGAACAATTTTGTGCTTGAGAAGGCGTTCAACATGTTTTTGGAACTGAACAAAAATGTCAAACACATCAGATTTACGTTTGATAAGATAAAGCCAGGTAAAGCGGCTGTAAGCATCAACAAAACTGATATAGTAATTATGACCACTAACAGAAGTCTGAGCAGGACCCCATACATCTGAAAACACAAGTTCTAAAGGATGTTTCACCTCACGACTGGACTCCGAAAAAGGAAGTTGATGACTCTTCCCCTGCTGACAAGCATCACACACTGCTACATCTTTATTACTAGACACACTAGGAAGCTCATGACGACGCAAAACATGCCGGACAATAGGTGTGGCCGGGTGACCAAGACGAGCATGCCACTGTGACGGAGATACCCGAACTCCACTGAAGACGCGAGCGACGCCAGGATGCTCCAGACGATAGAGACCTTGGCAGAGCCGCCCACTAAGAAGAATGTCCCTCGTGCCCCGATCCTTAATTAAAAGATCAAAAGGATGAAATTCACAAAGCACATTATTATCACGAGT